ATAATGGACTCGGCCACAGAGGCTGGTCTTCGTCATCGTCACTTACCGCAGGAACCTCCGGGGTCAATGTGCACAATTCGGTCAACATCCAAATACCGTAGCGCGATAGCATTCGACGCTCGTCAGCCATTTCCTTCTGCTGTTCGGACGTGGGGCAACCTTCCAGCTGCTGCAGCCACTTCGGAAGTTTTTTAGTGGCCACTATGTCCAACATGATCGATGTTTCTTTCAGTAGACTAAAATGGTCTAATACTAACATTACATTCTCCTCAATCTGCGAACCCTTTAGGGAAGTGACGGTGAAATGCAGCCACTTAAATGACAGCAGAGTTCATCTCGGATTCAGTAAGATTATGTGTGGAAACCAAATAAAAGATGACGCGACATGTTAAAAGACTAAGCAGTTTCCATCGGAAACTTTCGTGCTCCGAATCAAGAAGGTTAGAATGAAAAATAACACATTTTTATAGGAGTGCACCAATATGCTCATCACACACAATTCTCTCTGAGCTGTACTTCCCTAGTTTTGACAATTCAGGTAGTGTGGACATTATTCTTTCCTCAGAATTCACTAAGAATATTTATCAAACTTCATATCCTCCCCTTAATTTTTTATACTCCAAACCAATGAGTCTGTAGGAGCCGTTCAGCAAATAACAGATATGAAGAAAAGAATGAAACATATTTTCGCGTAAATTAATATGCGTGTTGCAAGTAACCCATCCTTTCGACCGAAAACCCGCTAGAAATGATCCATTAATCATGTGAGGATCGATAAAATTTCATGTTAAACAGATTCACTGTGATGTTCTAGAAAAAAAAGTGGATACAGCTCCTGAATTCGTGATTCAGTCAGTCTAACAAATTTGAGGGAGGATAAACATAGAATGGCTATTTCTCGAAAGCAATCCTTACACCCATTACGTACATTCATAAATCTGCAATGATACCCCTGAGCCTTTAATGAGCTGCGCTATGTTTGTTACGATATGATTATGCCAAGGACCATTCATGCACTCCCTGAGTCTCTTTCTCTGTTTACATGTCTCTCTTTCCTTGTCATCAATCCAACAGAAGACCGCATTAACTAAAATTCAATGACAGAACAGGGCTGAACGATAAAATGCGATCGATCATATAAAGCCAGAAATGAAGTTTTTCACAAGATTGCAGAAGTAAAGATACCGTACAAACTTTTGACCATAGGAATCCAAGATACGTTTTTTTTTGAAGATCGAAACATCGCCACTTTGCTGGTTTCCATACGCATGATGCGAAAGAAAGAATCGAACAAAGCACCTATCACGACGAAGCAGCCACAAAGAACATTGCAAAAGGGCAGACCGATGACCAAACCACTATAAAGTGATTTCCATTCCATGGAATACAATTCATGGTGCTTATGTGACTGCATTTGTGGAAGACTAATCCCAATCCAAAATTCTCCTGAACGTGCCACCCAAAAGAAAAACGCCTTGAAACTGAACGAACAAACGAATATATGGTGGAACGAATGGAAGAACAAATACCATTTCAATTCATAACATCTGATTTACTTGGCGTAAGCAAACCGCCCCTTTGCTGTTAGACGCCTAGGGGGAAGATATTGGTAGAACATGGATCCATAGCATTTCAGTCACTGAAGAGCCCCAGATGCAGCACTGCATTGCTGAATGGCAAATTTTGTTGGCGCATGAACAAACAATAATTCAGTCAAACTCAGAAATGCGACCATCCATCTGATGCCCTGTAGGTGCTGAAATGACATGAAGTTTTAGACTGTACATATGGTCAGCCTAGGCGTCTAGCAGCAAAGGACGATGCGTTTTCGTCGACTAAATCATATACCATAATACAATTGCCGACGGAATTTAAAAGCTGGCGTTTGTGCTAATTTGACGGCGCAGTAGCACTGTGGTAATAAAGTTAGACCCTGAACGTCAGAGGTGTCGGGTTCGATTCCGTAGGAGGGCCAACCGCCGTTTTAACTGTGAATTCCCTTAAGCAAGAAATTCACCGCGCGTTTGCTGCGATGCAACAATGCTGTCTGATGCTAGCACGTCACACAGCTGCAATTCGCGTTGATTCATGACTATGCAATATGGTAATCAGTAAATGTTACCCCGGATATTGTTCTTGTTGCTGCAGCTCATAATACCAGGGTTAGCTATGTCTAAGCGAAAGAACAAATGTTCGAAGTGAGTCGAAGAATAAATGCATTGATGAGGAAATGAATAAGTGAAAGGACAAATGGGTGAATGATTGAATGAAGGAACGAAAGAAGGAATGGAGGAGGAAGGAAAAGATTTAGCGTGTTAGCAACGTACGACTTGTGCAATTCATAATCATACAACAGAAACTTACCTGACTATTGCGATGACCATATCACAAAATGTATTTTTGTCACAGTCCCATGGTTTCAGGATGTTCGTAAGACAGATGTGCTGGACGTCAGCGTGCTTTCGATCGTGGCATTTCTGACAAAGTCGTAAAGGGATGAAGTTATTCGTGCGGAGACATACGTCTGAGAAGCAAATGCAGACCGCGATGCGATTATTCGATGAACATTCCTGAAAAGTCGGTAATTAATGAGGCATGACGGATGCTCAAAACGACGTTTAATCATTTACTGTGAGGATCACTACCTTCCTTTCTAAGAAGTTCTTAATTCCTTCACAGGTACGTTGAGTGTTCTTAACAGAATGATTGCAAGTCTCCGTTCGCATCCCCTTAGTAAAATTTTGTTACGAGTACCTTCAAGAGCATCGGGTGTTTTAAAGCAACATTTTCATAGCAACATCTTCCAGTCTGCTATGACATGCTTAATGGATTATACTTATTATGCACCGTAATTCACAAGACTCGAAGCTTACCTAAGAAAAACGAAAGGTGCCAATCGTTGGGATGCCGGTCTTCCTTGCACTTTCAAGATGGGCGGATTGTGCCATCTTTTTACTTTTCATGAAGCTTACTATGTGATGCTTACCTCCGTTTCCAAAAGCGCTGTGTTAAGAGCTATGTAGCAAGCACATCGTGCACTCTTACTGTTTCCGTCACTACAAAATGGCAGTCGCCTATCCACCCCAGAAGAATGAAAAGCGGGGTCGAATCAGCATTCTCGACTCAGGATTTGATGCACTGGCGGAGAGATCGCTATCTCATCTATAATAGTTTGCAAACAGACTATGCAAGGAAGTATGCTATCGACAGGTTTCTACCAATCGTCGCAGTTAGGATACGAAACAGTTAAATTCCACAGGAAGAAACAGAAATCATCATCATTTTCTGATGCAATTTCTAGCGTTACAGCCTAACCTGAGGGTTTCATTATAGCTTACTAGTCAAAATAAGGTCAGCTATTTCCTTCCATTGCTGAACCACCGCAACCAACTCAAAACTTTGCCATACACTTCAGTTGTCTGCCGTTTTTTTTTTCAATTTTGATCTAGCAAATTTTATTCAGTTCATCAGTTCATCTTGTAATTGAACAGAGGGCTTTCTACGGACCGTTTACTATTTCCTGCAACCCAGTCAAATATATCTCTGGTACAGCAATAGTCGTTTGTTCTTGCAACGTGTCCTGCCCACTATCATTTTAGATTCTTCACTTGTGAAGTGGCAAAGGACATTTCTCTATTTGTGCTCTTTCTCATTCCTCGTCTTCCTATCTGTTCTGATCTTTCCCAACGTATGTATTTCTGTGCTGCGTTGCGTAATCTGCCGTTTATAACTATCTTTTAGCATAAGCGTCAACGTTTGGCGTCCATAGGTCAGTAGAGGGAGAACACGCTATACACTGATCGAATACTTTCCATTTCAATCACAAGGACAGTTTCCCACAAAAAAAATTTTCAGTATTCTGCCGATTAGGCAGTCGGTTTTTCTTTGCAGAGATCGGCTGTCCCAGAGAGACGCAATTTTGCACTTCTTCAAGCCTAAGTCCGTTGACTTCAACCAGTCGTCGGGTCACGTGTTTGCTAAACAATATCAAAGCATTGGGTAGAATTTAAATGCCGACGCCCTTCGTTTCTTGGATTTGTCCTTGGAATGGTGGCCATGAAAGTCTTACAATGTCGTCCTCTAACCGTAGGTGGCTTATGTAGTGCCCATTTATCTAAAACCCTGCTTTTCTTAATGGAGTGTGTTGAAAACCTCTTTGTGAATAACTTCATATCCCTGTCAGTCGCCCGTCCTGATTTTGAACTATGCTGTGCTCTCCGAAACCATCACACAACACAATGATATTGTTGTAAATTACGGGGATCAGGTTTCTGTAGGCTTTTATCGATACCTTGGCTGCTCAAAGAATCCAGTTGATAAAGGTTGTTGACTTTGTCTAAAGACTTCTCGAAATCAAAGACTCCCAGGCAGGAATGAAGTTGAAATTCGATGCTTACCTGAATTAACTTACTTTCTTGTATCGTCTGGAGATGATCCACTGTACTAAATCCACTTAAGAATTCTTTGGATGTGTAGCGTACAATCCTTCTGAAATCTGCTGGTCAGTGTCTTTGTGAGGATCTTGTAGAGGATTGATAACAAACTGATCAGTTTACCGTTCTTCAAATACTCTGTGTTTCCCTCTTTTGCAGTAGCATCACCGATGCGGCAGTTGGCAGGAATTTTAACTACTCACAGTGTGAAACGAGGTGCAATAGAATCTTGATCAATGTTTCACCTGCTGATTTAAAGTTTTACTGAAATATCGTCTTTGCCAGCAACCCTACCTCCTTTGACCTATTATACAACATGGTGCACTTCTTTTGGCACGATATCTGAATTTTAATCAACTACCTTAGTATCTTCAAACTGTTCACTGTCACTTGGGTGTTGCCGATTTCAACTTACTACAGTTTTCTATAAAAATTTCCCACTCTGTTTCGAATCTATCGCCCATTCATGATAATCGTCCCGTTTCCTGCACTGAAATCTGAAGTTTGTAGTTTCCTGACAGTCAATTTTTGATTTAAGCTCGTCATACTTTAGTTCATTGAATGCTCACATATGTTTAGGTAAAGATCCACAAAGCTGCAGTTATCAGATCGTTGATTTCTGATCTGTTGCTGTCTGCATTCCTTCCCGTTTTTTCATGAGCGCTTTTCTCTGCCTCGTGGTCGACCCTCGATCGACCTTCATTGACCTTGTTCCAGGGATGTCTTCCTCAGTTGTCCCATCTACCTATGTTATGTCCTGAAACATGATTACTCGAATGTTCACTGTTTCTTCTGTCTGTTCTTCTTGAATCCACGAAATATACCGTATTCATTATTTAACTTCAGTTGGAAAAAAGTTCTTCGTTAGAGTTTCCCCCATCGTATATCTTGTTTCTCCTCTTTACCAATTTCCTACTTTCCAAAGATCAGACCGGGTACACTTTGGATCTGAAGAGCCAGACAAGGCTTCCTGCTCCAAATAAGTTCACCACTGCACTATAGTCATCACTTTTTTGCACTGTTCTCTAATCTTTTGTAGATAATGAACCTTCCTCATCATGTACTTCCTTTTTCCAATCCTCAGTCAATCACGAGTTGGCAACTTTTCTGCTCTAACAACTCCTCCTCTTTTCGTTTAACTTCACTCAGTCCAAGAATGTCCCATTTGACTTTCTAGCTCTTAAAGCCTTGCTTAGCCTAAAGGTGATCCGTATTTGTATGTTGCCAGCGTCAGTAAACCAAAGCAGATCTGATCCGAAAACAAAGTCATTCTTAGCACAATTTATTCATGTCTGATAAGCCGCCGCTTTTGCCGGCAGCAATCCAGCCTCTAGAGAGGGAGCGACATGATTTCAGCCGCTAGATCATCTTAAATACATGGCTGGACAGTTAGGTTTATGAGTCTTGCCTTATCCACTCAGCCAGGTTTCTTCCTCAAGTTTCCACAACATGGCTGAACCGGTCAGAGCCAAGAAGCTCGACTGTAAATCATCGTCTCAAGATCCAGCTGTCATTCTGATATCATACCGAGCTAGTGAAAGTAAAACTTAAGGAAGAAAATGCAGCTTTATATTTTAATAATTAATCAAGACTTCACTTGTTTAGTTTTTTACCTTATTTTGGCAAACGTTGGCCAAAGCAGACAGCGGCTGACAATATGGGTGAACTGATGACTTGACATTTTCTGGAACTGACTTGGCACAGTTGGAACAAAGAAACAACGGCGGCGGGGAGTCGCCAAATTCAGCGCAAAAGGATGAATTATAACATTTCTAAATGAATGGACTTAACGAAATTTGCGTAAGTAATACACTATACTCTTATGCTTAGGTTTTCATCACCGCTACTACAGTCTTTATGTTGACATCTGGTAGGAGTCCAAGCTACAAGCACAATTCCTGTTAGAAATAGCGCAATATCACTACGCGTCTTATTACCGTGTATCTTGTACTGAACCGTTCGCCGATCGCCCGCAACCGCCTTTGCTAGGGGCCAGTAATGGAAAAGCAGATTAGCGGCAGGTATCCGGCTATCGGTAGTCCCATAGGCAATGACAGACAGGATGACCTAAAAAGAAATATTAAGCGAGTGACGAGCACATAGTACGTATTAACGTTTACAACAAAAATCGGATTTCACAGTTAAAATAACTCGATTACGACAGCCCCCATTCCATGCCCGGCGGAATGCTGACATTGAGTGGAGATGGCAATCTGAGATAAAAACAGTGGCATATATTTCCCTTGCCCATAAAGATCTACAACAAATCTGAAATCCGTCAGCCAACGACACAAATCTCGTAATGACTAAAAGACATAATACTTTGAGACCAAAAACTGCAACAAAAGACAGTTGCACTCAGTAGCAGATCCCAGGAGGAACTACTAGGAATTCATTCTGCTATACCGTTGGTTCACTGAACAGAAAAAAAGAATCTAGGGCATGATGAATGGATAATGTTAAAATATGTTTACTGGATGAAACAAGAATACAAACAAGAGAAAAATCGACACTTGGTGGCGATTGGATAATGAACAATTGGAAAGTCTGACAAAATACTGTTGCCTTGACGTACTCGTAAATAAATTAATGATTTAATGAATGAATTTCTGAAAAAAAATGAATGAATCGATGATAGAATTATCCTGAAGAAAAAAAGACACTTCTGACAACATGTGACTGCAAAAATACAAGGACATAAAACAACCAGATATATGTGAAAAGACAAAATACAACTAAAATAAATGAGATCAGCATACGAACCAATAATAATTTAAAACTGTTCCAGACAAAATAAAAACAAGTAACGTTACTAATGACAGTTGTCCCTTCAGTTCATAAGACTCAGACAACAGCTTCAAGGCTCAAATAAATTAGCACTGCTACGTCCAGTGACAGGGACCGCAACTTACAGAAGCAGACTAATAGATTTGTTCAATTGAATATCACTTGATTTTCCATGCTTTCCAGTCTCTTCTAAAGATCTGAGAGGGAGTTGATATCCTAATTCATATGAGTCAACAATTGCACAACTTCTTTTAATTGTAACGACTGAAAACTTAGAATTAAAAAGGGAGATCCGGAAAACCTGAGGAAGAATGAAATAAGACAAACTAATTAGCTCACTAGGATCCAGGGACGAAAAGAAGAATGCACCCGAAAAACAGTAGCTGGTTGATTGCATGAAAAAAATCAATGATCTGAAGGAAATGCCATAAAAAATATCCATTATCGGTATATCCGACCGCGGAGAGAGAAACGAAAGAAGTACAGTATGACAGCTGCATGACAGCTGAGCTGATAACTTCAAAGAAGTGGCACCGATTTCAGCACTACAGAAAGTGTGGTTTTCCTTTACCCTGTTACACCAGTAACAGTTTAACGTAGACAGATGATTTACCATGATGATTTAGCGATGCATGTCAAGATAGTACACTTTCAACGACAGCGTGAAGTATGATGGAACGCATACGTCTGAACAAACCAGGTACTACGAAAGCCGGTAATGATGCTTGAAACAGTGGCAATCGAAACTAGGAAAACACAGCTGACTACCCAGATCATCATGCCATTATGAATGTTCTGCATACAACGACATTATAAAAACAAGCCAAAGGATGTGTGACAGAAATCCCCATGCATAAAGCTTGAAAACGAAAACTTGACAAAATCCATTCACTAGATCGTCTATCCTCTGAACGAAGAACGTGCATCAGACGAAAAAAGTTCCGTGGCTGAATCGGTAAAACGGAAAGTAGAATTCTCAAAGTCTTCGGTGGACACAAGGTGATACGTTTCACCCTGTAACGTTTTTCAGCTAAATCTTGTATATTAACGTCTTCACCCATCCATGAGAACGGTCGATGATCCGTGGCACTGCAAAATCTCTCTGAATCTACTAGTCATTTCAAGTAGCTCGGTGAATACCTGGTGAACAGAAGATTAACAAAAGATCGACGGCACTATCATCCTGTTCGACTCCATAACACAGACGTCAGTGACCGGCACCATGTTAGCACTTAATGTTATGAAAAGCATGAGAAATAACGAACGCGCCATTAGTCGGCATAGAAAAGCTCATGATCAGTCTAATACTGAAATAAAAATGTCATAATAAAACATGGGAATAAAGAGGCTTTTTAACAATATGACAAATTTACGACCGAAGAATTTTGTTAGAAGAGTAAGCAACACGCCTTATGACGAAAAAGTACGCCCAATTCTGTTTTCGACTATGAGGGACGGGGTCACACTAAGTCTTCCACGTCGAAACTCAAGTGACAAACGACATCATATTAATCGTTATATGAAACAGACATCTAAAAACGACACGAATTTTTCTGTTTATTATGCAGCTACAAAATGATAGAACGGTTCTACCACAGTGAAGGTCAGAGTTTATAACTGAATAAGATCCTTCTCCTGTCACTTCACTGGATTTACACTGCGCAGTACAATGTCCCTTGCTTCTAGCAGTATGGGGATTCGTTTAAGCAGACCCATGGTATTTTAGCGCCTGCATGGGCGCAAAACAGCACCGCTTCGTTGTTTGAATACCGACGAATATACCTCACTTCGTAGGCATAACAACAAAAAGCTGGCGATAAATTCTTACCAGCAGGATTGAAAGATAACAGCTTGCTAGCAAACCCAAAATAACAGGGCTTATTTTTAGTGAATAAGAGCTTGCGTTTCAAGCTTATATTAAATAAGAATACTACTACAAATAAAAATGAATAAATATGAATAAAACGAGAACAAAGAAAACTTAACCAACTGAACAAAATTATGAATCAATAGTGACAGCAATTTTATCGAAAGGTATCTTCATAGCGTAACCATCCAGCCAACCAAGCATTTCTGACAAATGCTAGTGAGAATTCCGGAATCATAAGCTTTATCGATAACGTCAAACGAACCTGATCCACATCTGCTTCAACGAACCAAAGTCAGAAAAGAAAAAAATACTGAAACATTAAAACTAGAGAAAATAGTAAACTGCCACTTCGATGGTTCTACATTCAAGTTATTAGACGCACTGCACTCTTTCAGCAAGTGCCGACGTTTAGACTGCATTCACGATCCTCACGGTATGTATTGGTCAATGGATAGCCAATGAATTTTGCTAAAACGTCGGCAATAAAAATGAAGACTATGATCGCCTGTTTCATTGTGTGTAAAATCACTGAACTGGCAGCTAATTGAAGAAAACATAAAACTGAAATGAGTTTCAGACATCGCTAAGCAAAATATTCAATTCTTTATACAAAAGTAAAAATTTTTGCTTTCAAAAGTAGTGGCAAACGGTATCGAAACAGTACAGTAACTAAAGGCAGCAACAATCGTTACGACTTTATCTTACCTTGTAAACATCGCTCCTCAACGACAACAATGTCTCAAGCAGCCAAGTATGGTGACCTACAATGACTAAAATCACTGAAAATGCCAAATTAAAAGAACGGTAACAAAAATTCAGGGCTGAGTTCAGGTTCGAAGATAAAAGAGAACAAAAATAAATTGACATATCATGCAAAACACGATGAAGCTATCAGGCATATAACAATTGGCACTTGTTGCTTTAGACATTTGACAGATTTCTCAAACTTAATCTGTTGTAATTCATGAAGGACAAACGATAAAGTCAACAGTAACATAAGACAAGAAGCATATTAAGATTAGCCTGCCGAAAATCATGACTTTTGTAGAACTATCGAGAAAAATTAATCGCTGCACTATTCAGATAAGCATAATAAAACTCGGCAAGATGAAGATGATTAGCTAAATTCAGTTCATCACTGTCTGTTGCAGGATCAAGAAAAAGGTACACTGATCAACCAAACGGTAAAGGGACTTCGGGCTGCCCACTGTACGGCTAGGGTTAAGCCATGTTGTAATGAAAAGCATCGGCCAGAGCAATTTTGCGAAGATTTCTTCACGGTTAGCTGCACACGTCCTAGCTAAGATCAGAGTGCGGAATACTGGCCAGAAGAAAGCTATTCATGATATAAGGGACAATGAAGGCGTTCCTTCAAAAGGTACAGGTACGAGCAAGTCAAAAAATCATGGCCATCAATTCCAGCTGCCTTCATTTATAAATGGCTTCATCTCTAAATCGAATGATCATAGGTTCGATCGGCTAATTTACGAATATCGTGAAGAAACCTCGAAAAAGAGACTCAAATATTACTATCCCGATATACGGACATAATAGGTAGTAGAATCAAGTGTTTTATGAAACAGCTGATCTCTGAACCTGAAAGCGACGAATTGGTGACAATAAATGAACCACAGAGTGAATTGGTGAGTATACAAATGAATGAATGAATAAATGAGCGAATGAGTGAATCTAAGCACGAAGGCATAAATGAATAAAACAATATAACACCAATTGTACCAGGTTTGAAACAAAAACTTACTGATAACGCCAAAGGTATATTGTACGACAGTTTGAAAATTCATAAGAAAAATGACCTTTAACAAGCTGCAAGCAAAACGTCTGGCAGTGCAAGTGAAAAGATACAAAGAAAAAGGGCGTTCAACAAAGCGATGAATTGG